GTCTATAGGTCATAGGTCCATAGACTATCAGGTAGGCACGATGATGGTAGAGGACTTCATTCAGACAGAATTAGGTCTAGGTTCCCATGGTTACTTACAGTCTGCAATGATGTTGCCGCCAGTTTGAGGGAACTGGTAGGCCTTGAAGTTCACTCAGCTGAGATGCAGCGAAAGCCAAGTGAAGTGGGAAGGGGATTGGGGCCCAGGGGATGAAGGTAGAGTTGCTGTTCCGTAAGATATTCACCCAGCACTGGCCCAGCAGTCATGCTGCTGCTCCACCTGGAGGGAGAGGTTGGTGGAGCATTTGGGTGAAGAGGAAGAGAAAGTATAGGACTGTGAGGGGTCGATATCAGCAAAAGACAGTCCTTCAGGTCGTGGCTACAGGAGGACTTCAGGAAAGTATAGGACTGTGAGGGGTCGATATCAGCAAAAGACAGCAGCTTCCTCGGGCTAAGCTATCCCCACAGCCTGCTCCAAAAGAGACCAAGCCCTGGAAGTCGCTCGATATCACTCAGGAAACTTCTTGTCAAGGCCATATGGACAGTGAAGGCTGGCTACTATGTGTGCCAGTGCTATAGACTTACAATGGATTGATCTCCAGGAGGCTGCACCTCGCATTCTCAAGGCGTACAAACGCTCGCTACCGGTTCTGCACTCCATGCCTACAATGCGCATCAGTGCTCTGCTACTCAGTTCACATCCTGCGCATATGAATCTATCTATTCCCCGACCCCTGAGTTTCTTATTGCTCAAGGGGACCTTGTATTTGGGCCCGAAAGAATGAAGTGACCTGCACGGCTGCAGTTTCAGATTTCCCCTTGTGCAAGCTAGGAGGTTCCAGCTTCTTGAAGGATGTGACAGAAGGCCCCTTTTTCATGATAGATGTGCATCCATTTGCTCATTCTTGCCAAGAGCCTTGGAAGAGCACTCACCATCCAGCTCAGCCCCTGGGGTGGGTGGCCCCAGGTCTTCTTCCTCTTCAGATGGTGGCCCTCTGCTAGGTCAGCCGATCTGAACCCAATGAAGGGCTTAGTATCCAAAGATTGCTTTTGGGGGAACCCTCTTTTGGTTCCCGTCTTAGTAGGCCGGAGTTCATTGCTCTTGATTGCCTTGACTTTTGGTCAAATCACACTGTAAGGATGGCCATTTCGTATACTCCTTGGTGGTGAGTTGGTGAACATACGTAGAGGGGGTTGCATCGTGAACAGCATCTATTTTCATAGATTCGGGCATTTCTCGTCCCGGAGTGGCACAACGCTTGGACATCTTCATGAAGAGTCCTTGCATATTGCCTGACCATCGTTCAAAATGGTCATTGTAGAGATAGGACTGTTATCTGCAGGTACGGCTGGAGAGGACTTAGAAAACAGCTGTCTTCTTTGCGTGTTTCACCCTCTCTCACCCTCTCTCCCCCTCTCTTGTTCGTAGCAACAGCCCCGACCAATGACGCTCAACCTGACCGGAGAAAACAGTAGCCGGGTGCTATCAAAGTCGTCATATATATCATCAAACAGAACTGCCCTGTAAACCGTAGGCAGAGAGGGAGAAGAGGACAACAAACGAGGGGCTGTGAGAGACTGTTTCATCGGAGTTTCACCAACTCACCGGGAGGAATCCTCTACAAAAGTCTGCAGAGTTCCCTAACCAATGATACCACCTTAAGCCCGGTTGCAGTTAAGCACCCACATTGGCTGACAATTGATACCCTGAGGTGGGCACCAACCACTGCCCTCAAGGTACCTGTAATGAAAATAAAGCAGACTATCACTCACCCACACCAGACAGAAACCCCACAGACTGCAGGTTCACACCCCATCATAACCCAGCAAAACACCCATGAAATAAAGAAAGGCCTGTTGCAGCCAGAAAATACAGTTCACCAGCCAGCTCTTTCTGAGAATATGTATGTATACAGTGTTGCATACCCCGACGGTCGGCGGCCCTTGACTGGTAGGATGCCGACCAGCCGACCGGTTGGCTGGTCTGCACCTACCGGTCGCGGGTCGTCGGCACTCCGCAAAAAAAACCTTTTTTTTTTTGGGGGGGGGCGGGTCCAGAACCCTTAATAACCCAACCAACACCCCCATACCGGCCCCCAATACCCCCATACACCCCCCCAACACCCCCAAACCCCCCCTCAACACCCTCATACCCCTCCTTTCTCGGAGGATTTGGGCTGTACTCAGCAAGCACAGTACAGCCCCCAACTCAGATTTGGATGGCTGTTGTCTGACTGGTCGGCAGACCACCGATCGGTCAGCCCTACTGGTCAGCTGCAATACGGTCCACGGTCGGGGTAGGCGGTCGGCAGGTATGCAACCCTGTATGTATATATATAACTGGGAGCTTGTGACAGACTGTTATATCAGACCTTCACCTACTCATCAGGAGGCTGAACCCACGATAGTCTGCAGAGTCCCCTAACAGATGACACTGTAAGTCACAATCCACCTACATATAAACATAGATAGTACATGTATATATAGTCATGTATCACTGAACATCTGATGAAAAAGTACGTCACAGCCCTGCCATTTCTTATCTGCCTATTGTCATGTTGTTACATGGTCCCAGGAAATCGAGAAAATGACAGAGAACAGGGTGCTTCCTTCCTTCTTCATTCCTCCATACCTCCCCCCATCCCGCCTTCCCTCCCTTT